AATTATGTTTGAAATTATGAACATTGCTCAACATCATAGAAAATTAAACCTTATTTTCAATAAGCAATCCTGAAAAATATTTGGGAGTGCTTAACTTTTTTCCAGGTGTATATTTGTATGTCTGTCTAGCTAGCTGTCTTTATCTACTTATCTATCTGTATATTTGTATGTCTGTCTAGCTAGCTGTCTTTATCTATTTATCTATCTGTATCTACATCAGTATCGTTGTTAAATAATAATTATATGAAACACGAGCTTTTGGAAGGACATGCAGATAAGAAATAATAAACTTCTGTTTCTGTGCTTTAAATTCTTACAATTTTTAATGAATAATCACACATGTAGAAATTAAGTGGGTGTTATAATAAAATCCTCCCTAAAGTCTTTTATTTTTCGATGCAGACTATACGTAAAATTAGCCAGTAAATAAAGCAGGTCATTATAATACCACAGACATTACTAGCTGGAATAACTATAACTTTATCAACTAGCCTTTACAAATAAAGTATTACAAACTAAGATGTTTAAAAGGAAGAAACTGGAATTTTGTAATAATGCAGAAAATGATAGGTGAGAAAATGTAATGTTGTAATAATGTAGAAAATGAAAGGTGAGAAAATGTAGTGTTGTAATAATGTAGAAAATGAAAGGTGAGAAAATGTAATGTTGTAATAATGTAGAAAATGAAAGGTGAGAAAATGTAATGTTGTAATAATGTAGATATTGAAAAGTAAGTGTAATGTTTTAATAACATATATTTTAAAGGGTTAGAAAGTATAGTTGTAACAGCTAAGGCTACTAAATGTTAACTGGAATAACATGAATAATTTATGGTGCGGAAATTGGCATAGCAAGAACTTTATACGAACAATAACTTAGAAAATTAAATAATCTACGATTGAAACTAACGAACTTAACCTTCTGTCATAAGCAAAGGTCTACTGAGTAATATAATAAAAGCTTTTAGTCGAAAACAGTCGATAGGTTTCTTCAGAAAAGTTGCAAGAATCAATGGACGTACGAATCTAGAAATTTCACACTATATTAGCTACAAACACATTAAATCACACCACGTGAACTAATGAAGATATTGTCCTTCTTCTTAGTAAAGAAATTCGAAAATCCCTTGTTAGTAGCAGTAACTCAAATGGTTGTTCCTTGCTAATATTGTCGCCACTGCATTTAGAAACGCAAGGAACGAACACCTGGATACACATGGGAGGTTCGTTATATGCGTTGTAATTTGGATTTCTCGTTGAACCGCCACAAAGATCTTTAAAATATAAGTCACCAGGCAGATACATGGACGTTCGAAAACGTGGTTATACATAATGCATAAACACTTTACCACAATCTAAGGCTTTAGTACATTTTTTTGCCCCTAGTTTTCTTTCTCGGATTTTAGACTTTTGAAAGAGCAACTGGATCCATAAATAAATTGTATTTATTCTAGCAAGAAAACAAGATCTTAGTAAAGAAACTATATATATGTAACCAACAATGTATAACCACATGTATTAAATATTTCTATATGAATATAAGTATATAATACTCACGTGTCGAGCGTCGAGATTTGGGACAAGAAGAATTACGCCTAAAGCCACCGCCAGAGATCTGTAGAATAAAGAACTACACACTATTTATCAAACTCTACAAATAATACACAACAAACTAAAACAATATACTTCTGAAAATATTAACTGGAACTATATTAGTATTTCAGGAAATATTATTAATGTTATTCATTTGTTTGTTAACAAGCACAAAGCTGCACAGTGTACCTACCGCAGGCATCGAACCTAGGATTTTAACGTTACAAGCCCTCAAACTGACCACTGAGCCACCGGGTAGTTATTTGTTTTAAGTAATATACTGTCAGAGCAATATCATTTCTGCATTTTTGTTTCAAGTTTCGAAATGAATTTCAGACCCTCACATACACACAAAAGTTTTAACATGTACAGCATTTCATCATTTTGTTTTCACACCACAACCACATAGATAAAAGTTTTATCATGTACAGAAGTCCATTTTTGTAGAGTTTCGTCTCAAGTTTCGACACTGAAATGCTTAGCGGTGGTAATGGATGCATTGATCTGGTAGCCAATCACATAAAATTGGACTCGTTTTTTTTTTTTCATCTTCACTGTAACTTACCTAAAACATCACTCAGTCTAATATTTGTTTCATCTTCACTGTAACGTACCAAAAACCACAATCAATCTAAAACTTGTTTCATCTTCACTGTAACTTACCAAAAACATCACCCAATCTAAGACTTGTTGCATCTTCACTGTAACTTACCTAAAACATCACTCAATCTAATACTTGTTTCATCTTCACTATAACGTACCAAAAACCACACTCAATCTAAAACTTGTTTCATCTTCACTGTAACTTACCAAAAACATCACTCAATCTGAAACTTGTTTCATCTTCACTGTAACTTACCAAAAACATCATCCAATCTAAGACTTGTTGCATCTTCACTGTAACTTACCAAAAACATCACTCAATCTAATACTTGTTTCATCTTCACTGTAACGTACCAAAAACCACAATCAATCTAAAACTTGTTTCATCTTCACTGTAACTTACCAAAAACATCACTCAGTCTAATACTTGTTTCATCTTCACTGTAACGTATCAAAAACCACAATCAATCTAAAACTTGTTTCATCTTCACTGTAACTTACCAAAAACATCACCCAATCTAAGACTTGTTGCATCTTCACTGTAACTTACCAAAAACCACACTCAATCTAAAACGTGAATAATCCAGTTAGTGTGTTAAGTTAATTACGACTTTCAGAACGACGTTCACCCTTAGTCTTGATTTATTTTCAACCATTACATTTGGATAGAAACAATTGTTTTTCACTGTTCCGGGTGTCGGGATTTAGGTCTTGAAGATCTGGGAGGATCAGGTTCTAAGTAGACCTCTTCCTCCCTCCTGAACTGTTGTTGTTTGATGAAAACTATTTTGTTATTTTTGATAAGCTGGTTTGGATGACTAAACAAACATAGCTGGTGTATCTACTTTTGAAATCGCTCGACTCACAATCTGAGGGTCGCGGGTTCGAATTCCCATCCCACCAAACATGCTCGCCCTTTCGGCCGTGGAGACGTTATAATATGACGGTCAATCTCACTATTCGTTGCTAAAAGAGTAGCCCAAGAGTTGGCGATGGGTGTTGATGACTAGCTTCCTTCCGTCTAGTCTTTCACTACTAAATTAGGAACGGCTAGTGCAGCTAGTCTTCGTGTAGCTTTGGGCGAAATTAAAAACAAACAAACAAACTAAACGTATGAAATGGATGATAAACAATCTCGTCTAAAAAATATAAAAATTAAAGAAATGCAGTAAAAACAGAAACATAACACATATAAGACCATTTACGTATCCAGTGTTTATAAGATTAAGGATTAATGACGTTCAACAAAACGACAATGAACTATGTACATTACATGGCCAGTTACAAGAAACACACGACTTTTGTTTTGGTAGTTAGGCTTCACCTAGACATGATAAACGTTAATATATATGTTGTTTTCGAGTGTATGTGTGGATTACTTGAGAGTTGTGATAGATTTACTCTATTTTATCGATGTTTCTTGATGACAAAGGTGAAGCTAATCGTTAATTAAAATTTTGCTGCCGCAGATTAGAAAATTATTAAACATGCAAGGAAAGCAAGGTGGTAATATCTTAACACCAGGGGGACTTACAAACTGCGGACTGGAAGAGTGAAGATACGATTCCCCAGTTGAATGCTAAATTATAATAAATGAAGTGGCAGAGAAAATTGAGTTCTATTGAGGTCTCCATGGTAACAATAAATAAATAACAATCAGCATGGAACTACGTGGAAGAGAGGGAAGAGGGAACATTCACAGAGTGGGAGTGGTTAACATTCTCACCGGAAACAGAGGGATATGAATTTTCAACATTTCTCAAATAAACTGTCAGATTTTGGAATGATCATCAAAACTAAATCATCATAGTTAATGCAATATCTAGTTTATTTCATTTAATTATACACGAGTAAATGTTTTAGTGTTAAGGACTGTTACGGTGGTCATCAGTGAGAATAAAATAATGCTGAGCTCAAAAACTATGGAAAAACACTATTGGTCAAATGGTCTGGAGATATAGCTGCGCCTATATAAAAAACTGCACTTATTACAATATGTACTCCCTCATTTGCACGATCAGTCTGACATATATATCCCCCCCCCCAGTGGCACAGCGGAATGTCTGCGGACTTATAACGCTAGAAACCAGGTTTCGATACCCGTGGTGGGCAGAGCACAGATAGCCTATTGTGTAGCTTTGTGCTCAACTTCAAACAAACAAACAAATCGACATATATACACACACAAAATCTTTAGAACGTGATAAACAATTTAAATGACACACACACAAAGAAACACGAAGTTTTAAAACATAACTAAAAGTAAAAGAACTCACAAAAATATAAATCATGTTCTCAAATATGACCAGATTTATGACAATTACAAAAGTTACTAGTAAAACCCATAATAACTGCTTCAAAATGAACAGACAGTTTAAAAGTATAGAAACAAAACTAAAAGATAAACTTGAGAAATCAAAGGTTAAAATGTGACGACAGACGGAACATTTAACATATTAATACATACTTGACAGAAAGTATGAAAAAGGTAACTTCTAAAGACGTTAGGGTAAACTACAATGACAGTTCAGATACAATGTTGGTTTAAAATATTGCAATTGTTCTTTTACATTGAGTTGATTATGGTCCTTTACCTGTGATCACAGTTCTTTATCATTGAGTTGATTATGGTCCTTTACCTGTGATCACAGTTCTTTATCATTGAGTTGATTATGGTCCTTTACCTGTGATCACAGTTCTTTATCATTGAGTTGATTGTGATCCTTTACCTGTG